ATAATAGCAGTATATGGGCCATAGATATAACCAAAAGGAATGGCCATACTTTGCTGCGCAGGTAACCCCAAAGTAGAGCACCTAGCGATTTTTCAGGTTCGACCAAAATACGCGCATATACCCTTTCTGTCCTTTGCGTAACATTCTCCCAGTTGTAGAGTGTAGAAACAATCTCATTACATTTATATGGGCAAAGCACAGCTTCCATGTCTTCAATACCCTTAAAAGCTCCGGTATTCTTTGCGTGTTTTACCTTATGCATACCTGAGTTTACATGTCGTGATTTTGTCAGTGTCGCACTTTTTTGTTCGTGAGCTGTTTTCATAGCACCATACCCCTCAACATGAACACCGCCATTGACACTAGTCCCAAGTAAGGTCGGTCGTTGGTTATTAAAAAAGCAANTTACTTGGATCTGGTGTAAATAGGGCAGTGTCAACAGCATTTGGAATGACGGAAACTTTTTCTTTTGGTATGCGTGCTCGTAATACAGTGTTTTCTTTACCTGTTTAAATTTAATTCATATAGATTACTATAAAGTCAGACACTAACTAATCTACTCACCAATGTGAGAGACGCAGATGCAGTGGTTTACATTAGCCAAATTTATCTCCAGCATTTTGTTAGTGAAAACCGCTGACAAATCAGCAAACCCAAAAAGACTGTGATCCGTAAAAACAGTCTGTATAAAAAAATGCAATCAATTTATTAGTTGCATACTTTGAAGTTTACTATCAAATCACCCTCAGGCCCAGCATATTGCCAATAATCATGGCTTCATGTGCCAGCGTGCTAAATGCCGAGTGTCCGTGCACTACCTCAATGCATTCCCGCAACAGTACGCATCGTATAAGTGGTATTTGGCATAAAATTGTGGGAAGTATACACTGATTGTAGAACGGTTTAATTGGTAAATAATATACTTTTAATCCATTGGTTAAGTAACGAATACCTTTACAATCACCATAGCAGTGTGTTAACACAATGACCTGGTTACAGAATAATAAACAATTGAAGGCGAAGATTTTAATATGAAACCAAAAAATTTTAATGACTCACTTTATGTCCGTGGCTTAATAGGATCTGTGACAAATTGAAAACGTGTTCTTCTACTCCACCTATACTTGGATAAAAAAAATCTGTAACCATACTGTAAGAGAGGATAATTATAATTTAGTTTAAAATTTTCAAAATACGCTTAATACCATATTCGCATTTTCTCAAAAATAAAAACAAGAATTCATTTGTTTAGCTGCGTGTGATTACTGAAGAAACTTGCGATCAGCTGTTCCCTTCATTGATAGCATTTCTCAAAGTAAACAAAGTGATTGGCATTTGTTTAAGCTGGGTTCACACAGAGAAACTTTTGTTGCTCATTTTCGGCAACTTCTCTTTTGGTGTTGCCCTTCGCGTTCACACAGAGCAATTCTTTTATACACAATTGTTGTTGTCAGCTGTGATTGGCTAACTAGAATTGCTTAGACGAACATACAGAGCATAAAGCGTGTTGCTCGAACAAAAGCAACTGAGGCTCACAGAGTCGGAGGATGAAGACGACGACACATGACAAATCTGGGGGGTTGAGCACTGCTGCTACAACAACAACAACAACAAAAGCAATTCGGTGCCCTTCCCCTTCCTCGGTCACTACCTCTCTGGCAAGTCACGAGTTGCCGCGACCAAAGTTTCTCTGTCTGAACCTACACTTACGAACAGCGATAACTGTAAAAATTGGCAAAACCAAAGTGGCGGTTTGCGGAATGGGCCTCCTTCTGTTCGCTACATCGTGGTGAAAAACGAATGAAAAGTAAACAAAGCAAAGAAAACAACGAAAACCCAAATTGACCAAAATTATTGCACGTTCTTTGTTAGTACAGTTGGTAAATGCAA